ATCCAAAGGTACCAGTGGTGATTTTGACGTCCATAAAACCGGACTCCATCATGTCCAGTCCAGCGATTTGGGTATTCCATATCCAGCTATTAACGTACAGGAGGGCTGAAATGCTCCATCATGCTGAAACTATAAGCGATGTGACAGATATGATGTCATATATTTCTTTCGTATTTATCTTGCAAACTATGGGTCGTACTGGAGCAATTCTTTGGGCATTTTTTATGTATTCTAAGCGAGGAGTTTGGCTGTGAAGTGTATACAGGGGCCATGGTGATGGGCCCCTGTATTTTTATGCATTTATTTAAATTATTAAAGTGTTTGTGAGAAACAAAGGTAGAGATAAAAAATATGGAAGTCTAAATTCTAACTTTAATTTACCATAGTTACCAACTCTCCCTTTAATTTGGATATTTCTCTTTTCTGTCCTAAAAACAATAACCACTTGTAGTAAATTTCTCTAAACTGAGACATTTCAAAATTAATGAGTGTCATATGATGCTTTCATAACTTTGATACCGCAAATACTTACATTCTCAGCCAATGTTAATTTGTAAACCTTAATAAACAACCCATAAAAAGTAAAGCTCACCTTAAATCAAATCATTCTGTAAAAGTCGCATTCGCTTTCCACTTCTTTCTCTAGCTGTATTATATTTCTGCTTCCTTTCTTACAGCAATATCTTAAAAAAAATTCAATTTTACTTAAGAATGGGCGAGCTGAGCACCAATTTATCAGTATTACATTAAGATTATTCATCTACAATAAAACTTGTGTTTGATCGAGAAATAAAAGAATTATTCTACTGGCCATGCTTGTTTCTCTTTTAAATATCACTACAGACACACACACATATATATATATATGTATAGTACTTTTTATACGGAGTTTAAGAGATGCAGTAGCCTGATTAACAACTCACGCATGTACACGCATTGTATTGATTTACACTTATGTATTACTTATAACAGTAAAAGTATTAAAAATATATTAATTAAAATACTTTTAATTTGAAATTATCGCTACAGACGAACAGAGATCTGGACAGTTGAAATGCGTATAATTGGAGAGTATTAAACAATTGATTTTATTTAAATGCATTAGCGAGGGTATTAAATAAATAAAATCTTTCTGTGTGTTTCATATGTCATTAAAATATTCCGTTGAGGGCAAATAGTTTTTTTTCGGCCGCAACTTTGGAAATCAGCCAAGTTTGAAATGTTTCTAGTTCGTTGGGATAGCTGAAAAGCAGATTCTGCCTTATCTTCCTCCCACCTCGTTAAAGAGAACTTCAAATGAATACCGCTCCGAAGATTTCCTCTTTTTTTTTTTTTTTTCCGGAGGGGAAGGAGCGTTGTACTTACAAAAATAACAGGCTTATTTAATTATTCCCATTACAAGTAAAAATTCCGCTCTATCTGTAAATGTGAATAACTCAAGATCGGCTTAATACATGGTATTAAATTTTATTGTTAAACAAACTTCCTTTTGAAAAACATGTTATTCTGTGGTTTATCGAGAATTTTTAAGTAAAATATATTTTTCTCTGTTGAATCTGAAAATATGATTTCAGTAACATTTTCACTTCCTATAATTTTTCTTTTCACAATTTTTCAAACCCCGTCCTTGATTATATTTAGTATATAATTTTAAATAAGCAGTAAAATTATTAAATAATTTGGTCCATATCTGAACAAGTTTTAGGACTTTAAGTAAAAGGATATATTGGAAAATTGCAAACTGAGAAAACGCAGTTTAAAGAATGTAAACTGTTCTGAATGGTCATTAAATCATTTCAAATTTCTTAAAAATTTTACTACTGAATTTCAATGCATGTATATAAAAAGTAAAACATAGCACTACTCAATTGATTAATATGAACATAAATTACAAGCTTTTGTTTAAAACCTTTTCTGGTTTGAGAAATATCGCAAAAAAATCATAAAATGCAAGTAGAATTTTTCTTAACCTGTTTTAATTTTTTTAAACACGCTCAAAACAATTTTAATGCATGAATTAATTATAATATATTTTCTGAAACGCTTATAATCATTATTAATAATATTAATTTGCCGTTTTATTCATTTTTTTAAAAAGCAAATTTGAATTTTAACTGACATAAAACATTTTATTTAAAACCACTCAGCAGCTTTTGTTATTTCTTCTCTTATTTTAGCCATTTGTTCTCGTATGCAAATAGCATTTTAAATTAATTTATGTGCATTTTAATTAATTGAAGAGTTTAATGTTTGTTCCAGCACTTTTTCAATAATGCTACAGTCAGAAACTTGATCACTTTCATTACACCACCTCTTTCTGTTCGTGTCTAATCACAGATAATTTCCATTTTTGAATAAGCATAGCAAAGTTGACCGATAATACACATAAAATTATTTGCTGAGCTCAGTATAAATATATAAAACTTGCCAGTTTAAAGGTGAAAAATCATTTTTTTCAACTTTAATTTGTATTTAAATAAATCAGTATATGCATATAAACAGAGGTTTTTTTTTTTTTTTTAATTTTTTTTTTATATTATATATATATATATATATATATATATATATGGTTGGAGTCATATTTAATTACACTCGTTTTCATTTACACTGATTTTTAGTAAATTACTGAGAGAAAAGAAAAAAAAAAAAAAAAAAAAAAAAAACACTGAGGGGGTGGCATTTAAAGGGGTGCCAAAATTTTTAAATACCTTTTTATGGCATTTATTATCCTCAGATCATTTCAAAATTTCTCTTCAGTGTAGTAAGGGTATTAAGGTACTTTTCCAGCAAAAAATTCAAAAATCGGTAATTTCATTGGAGTACCGAGTCCCCTTAAGGTTTTGGTCCAAAAGTGCTTTGTCCCTAAAGGACTATTGTTTTCCTTTTGCGATTTTCTTTAAAAGGATGTATCACTTTTCCAATCGTTGCCACTAAATACTATCGCCCTGTATTATATTTGAAGAAATTAAATGATGAAGAATCTGCATAAATGTATGTATGTTTCTCGCATTGTGATAAAACAATGATACAAAAGCATCCAATTTTGAAATACGTAATCCTACTGCGAATAAGGGCATCTGAAAGCTCTAATTTGAAATTTGCGATTTATTTTATTATCAATTTCATAATTTGTAAAACTTTAACGAATTTCTAATTAACAAACTCAACGATTTAAAAGCGAGCAATGGCAACGTTCTACGGAGGAAAAAAACCTTTTTCTCTTCAGCGCGCGGAACTGTGTATCGGAAATTCTAAAGATAGACTCATTTTAAAATTATTTTGCAACATTGCCTTTGAACTGAATTTTATGGTTTAAGTGCAAAGAACATGATATTTAATTAATAAAAGTAACACACAAAACGTTAACAAAACGCTCCTTTGGACGTAATTTAAAATCTGAAACCTCTCAGATTTTTTTTTGTTGTTGTAGTTTTTGTTATTTCTGGACTTATTTTACGCCACTCCTCTTGAATCACTCCTCTCAGGTGCTACCTCGAAGATACGCTCTGTTTTCGAATTTTAAATTCTAGTTCCTGCCAAATACGTTCAATAAGATTAAGATCTGGCGATTGGGAATGATGCCTTAATTACTTCTGTACATTTATATAATAGGCAGAGTCTGACACTGTGCGCAGTATGCTTTGGATCGTTGTCCTGGTAGAATTTTAAACTATTTTGTATATTAAACTTTTATGCTGAAGATGCCAAATTTCACTTCAAGATGTCAAGGTATTTATACTAATCCGTTATACCATCTACAAAGTCTATCTTACCAAAACCGGAAACATGCCATAGATCCCAATACCATAACTCCTCCTCCACCGTGTTTAACATTTGATATTAAGTTTTGCTTTCGAAGCTCCTCTTTTGGTTTTCTCCACACCAACACTCGTCCATCATTGCTAATTTTGTTTGTGAATATGTGCTCTACAAGAAGACACCAAAATTTTGGATACATCATTTAAAAAATTTGAATGCAACGAGCTACAATGCTATGGTAATGGTGAATATAGTGTTCGTAAAAATGTGTTCTGTTTTGGTGTTTTATGTGTTGCGAGTGATTAAAAGGTTAAATGGTAGTTTGCACCTCGGTTATAACGTCCTAAGTTCTATATATGGTATATCATGCATATTAATAGATTATTGTGTTCATAATGAAAGGTTAATTCTCAGAATTAATTCATATAAAACCAAAAAAATAACATACAACGGTTAGGCACTTTCTGGTTTTGCTGAAAATACAATCAATACAGAAGTACCAACAATTCAAGCTGTTATGGCATGTTCATTATTTTTAAAATACAAAGAAATTATTAGAGTGGTACCAGTACGTAATATGACTGCTGAAGATGAATTAGATATATGTAATAGCAAAAAGCAATACATTAAATTTAATAATAATGCACATTTTATAAGTATGTTGTTTTTTGTATAGTATGCAGAAAAAGTTAATGATTTTAAACAGTGTATGAAATGTATGATCGAAAAAATAGTGTTAAGAAAACATTAGCATTTCTATATAACATTGTAATCTATAATTATATGATATTTAATTGTGTAATATTAAAAAAACACTAAATATTTTTTATTGATTGCAAATTGCAGTTTTATTACTTTTCGTTTGGTATCTAATTTTCCAAACACTGTGTAATTCGCGTTTTTTTTTAAATATTGTCGTTATTTTATATTTATTAGATTATCTCAATAAATGAATGTTGGAAATTTATTTTTTATTAAATGTATTATCTATTGACGTTATGTATTTTTATTAGTTTATCTCAATAAATGAATGTTGGAAATTAGGTTTTATTTATCTCAATAAATGAATGTTGGAAATTAGGTTTTATTTATCTCAATAAATGAATGTTGGAAATTAGTTTTATTTTATATTAAATTTAAGTATATTCCATTTTCTTAACTTACTTTTTATGTGCTTGTGATAACAAAGAAATTCATAATAAATAGAAACAAAAAGTTTCATCGTGTGCTATTTAATATACTTAGCTTACTATCGTATACCATATTATTTAAATTATTTCTGTATAGTTACAAAAGAAAAGTTATTGATTATAAAAAGTGTATTCGAAAGCATTTTTGCTAAGGAAAGTTTGAGAAACACTAACTCCTTCATCCTGGAACCACGTTTTGAAAGAAATGTAAGAATAGAGGAAATCTGGTTTTAATCCTGTGGCCTGGCATGTCCCATCAAACTTAGAATAGTTCATTATGGATTGGTATGTATATCACATGGTTTGGTGTAGTTGAGCGGGACTTAGTATAGTCATAACATGACATGCTGTCTGTCTGTACTTCAGCGGCCGCAAACCTTTAATATGGATGCAATTACGGACCTTGCTGAATCAAAAATATTAGGCATCCCATCTGTGTCTTATATTAATATATACCCATTTCTTCTAAATACTTCCATCATCTTAAGACTCTACTACAAAGTGACAGCATTACTCCGTCCTAGCTAGAGCTGTGAAAAGAAAATCAAAATATTTGGTGGTGCAAAATAATAAAACATTAAATATCACATAGGAACTCTAACTTCATAATAAGACAAAATACAAAATAAACTTTAAATTTAATTTAATCTCAGATTTATTTAAGTTAATATTTTATACAATAAGTTTCTTTCGTAAAATGCATGCAAGAGAAACTGACACATCTCAAAATTGACATGCATGCCATTTATTTATTGTTTCTGAACTACAGCATGGTTGGAAGACGTTTAAACCTGCATGATCTCTAAACATCTCTCTGCTTGAGAATGTGTAGGACATGGTCAGTCGAACTAACTATACGGCACTCCAAGAATACCTTACCTCATAAAATCGAAGAATTCTTGGGGATAAATATGCTTTGAATCGTTATAGGAATGTACTCAATAATGCACTTGAATAAACTTCTAGTTATTTTTTTTTAAAGAAATATATTGGTAGTCATTAGTAGCAATTAAAGCATAAATTAACGGTTTAAAAACTAGAACATAACTCTATATGCAAAATTAAATTATAACTAAGCGGGATAATCATTGGTACTTTCAAGATAATTACCTCAGCAAGATAATCTTTGGTAAGTGAATTATGTTTCATACAGGACCGGTTTTAGATTTGAAACGATGCTAAGTTGTTTGAGATTTGGGTCCCTTTATGTGGATACAAGTCATTTTTTATATGGGATATGGTGCAATTTCTGGGAGTGGCCCCAAAAAAAGTGGGGGGGGGCCTCAGCTTTCATGAGTAAATCCGGCACTGGTTTAATACAATACTTTTACATACAAGTATTGAATAAAGTTGTATTATCCATCTAGGATACAAAACAATTGAGTTTAAATCACTGGATTATATTTACATTAAGTGTAGGAGTTCGTTAATGGTTATAATTACAAAAATGTTATTCTATGAATTCATATTATGCATAAATCTTCTTGCGAAGTCAGACTATATTCAGTAATAGAATGATTTGTAATTCATATAAAATGGGCTGCTATAGAAGTAGTGAAGTCCAATGAGATTCCCGTCTTGCAGAGATTTCAAAAAGTAAATTCAGATTCAGTGGAACAATCATGATCTGACAATTTGCTATTTTTTCTAAATTATCAAAATTAATTAAACTGAATACAAATTTTGGCACTTCTTCAAGACATTCCACTCACAATGCATCAAATCTGATATCCAGTATCAGAAACAATATTATATGCTTTGACGCAAAATTAAAGCACTTTCACAAATTATATTATTTTCATTAAATGCCAATATATCGTTGGGTGTTAGAGGTTTAAATTTTACAGTTTCCTTCTAAATGAAAATTATTTAAATGTGATGAACCATCTTAAAGTGAGTAATATTCTACTCCAGTCTGATCTGGTAATTAATTATTATAGAATACTACTGCTGTATACCTAAGAAGAATAAGGCGTCCTTCTTGGTGGTCACTGTAAGGAGCTTGAAATTGTATTTACTCGGGAAAATTTGAGAATACCTCCTAGCTTTCAGGGCAAGAGATTCGAAAATGGGGAGGGCTGCCATTGCTCGCCCTTTTAACCATATAAGATATTTCTCCCGCTTTCCTAGCGTGCCTTCGTGGTGTAGTAGTCTGCACGCTGGGCCGGTATTCCAGAGGTCCGTGGTTCGATTCCCGGCGAAAGCGGTTGCTCATTTTGGAGATTCAAAACCCACATAACAATACTGTAATTACAGTACACCTAACACTTTCTATGTAGATTTATTAGGTTTTTTTATGTTGAAGACGTGAAAAACGTACCATGCTCTCGCCGGGATTCGAACTCCGGACCTTTCGAATACACGTCGAATGTGCTTCCAGTTATACCACGAAGGCTTGCGGACAGAAGGGAAAAATTCTTTATAAGTAAATCAATGTAACCAGTGTTTATGAAAGTTACAATCTCTCTACCAAATTAACGACAGTTGTTGGAAGAAGAATTTGCACTGAGGTTTCGAACTTGATTCTCTTCTATGTTAGTTAATACAAGAAAGAAACCATGCCAGCAGACTCAAAGCCTTTTCCCCTGAAAGTATTTGTTTCGGCAAAAGAAGTTTCCCTTAATATTCAGCAAGAGAATAACTAGATAAGACGTAAAAACAATTCACATGTGTCGAGCAATTTCTATGTTCTAACTTACACTAAGAAATTAAAATTCGTAGTTATTAGTGAAATTAAAATTATAAATGTTAGCATACGAGAACATTTATATGTTAATTTAGAATGTAAACCCAAATAACGGAAACTGCAAAAAGCGTTTTAAAAACCTTGCACGTTAAAAGTTATTTAAACAAATCAAAATTCATGTTAATTTAATTATTTTTAACCGTGTCTGAATTATAAGCTTTTGCCTTTTGTCATGCTATTTAAGGCACTATTAGCAACTTAAGAAGATCAAAGACATTCCATCTTCATCAGCCAAATTGTGAGACATTTTTCTTTCATCTTACGAACCTGTACCCAAGTGCATTGACAGTAGTAAGCCAGGAGTTTTCATCTCTAAACTCTTCATCCGTAGATTTATTTTTTACTTGTGAGAAATGTTTTGGCTTTGATCCCTGGCCTTGTCTATTATTTCTTGTTTCATTTTATGCGTCCTTCGAATTGCTTGCTACTTGAAGACATGAGACGATTTTTCATCCAGTAGTGTAGCATACGCTTGGAAACGAATGACGTAATGCTTTACGAAGAGTTAACCTCCTTAACATATATTAAACGTAATTTATTTTAATTCTGTTGTGATCTTAAAGCATGCTAGTTCTTTGTTCGTATCTCCATCTTTTAATCTCAATTCTGATCTGTACTTGTCCTGCAAAAAAAGAAAAATATTTTTTTAAAAATTCAGGCAATGGAAATATAAAACTTTTCCTGATAACAAATGCGATATGCATCAGGTACAGCAGTGAATATTTGTCTTTTTCCTACTAAGTCCTTAGGAAAAATAAAAAGAGAAAATTGGGAAAATTCAGAAATAATGCATTACTTTGCTAACAAAAAATGAACTCCAGATTCTTGATATACTGTTGTCAAATAATGAATAAAAGAATGTGAAAATAAGTTGGGATATAACTTAAATGTATGTATTAATTTATATGAAGATGTGTGAAAAGGAATTCTAAGATACGCGGCAAAAATAAAAAGATACATATGGAATCCAAATTAAGCATATTTTGTAATGTAATGTGCGTATAAAAAATAGTGTGCATAAATACTAGCTGATAAAGAAGATTTGAATAAGGAATAGAGACCGATAAATTCTTATAAAACAAACTTTCTAATGAGTCAGCCTTTTACAACAAATGTTCGAAAGAGCCACACCACCAAGAATAATAAGCGATTGATAGCGACGAAATATGAACTGGTGGACAACTCCAAAGATCTCAGGCTTTCACGCTCAATCCCAGCAGCAACTGACTGTTTGGCCACTAGATCTTCAACGGAATCAATGAGACTTTCATAACGCATTCTTCATATCCCCATAGAAGAAAATAAATATATGTCACATCTGGTGATTGTGGCGGTCAAGGAACAGGTTTAGGTCGCCCGATACGTTACGGGCCGTTAGTAACATCGAGTGCCCATTTTATATATTCGAATGTTTGGCGATTCGTCAGTTGACTACTCAAGAGTCTGTGCTATTCTGAAGCACAGACTTCAGTATAGTTCTATTCTGAACAGTTGCTTCTATTTCTCTGTCTACAACCTCATAGATAAAATGCTGCTAGAAAACTGCACGAAAAATGTTTGATTTTCCCCACTAGACCGCTTTCACTTGCTGACTTAACAGCAACTTCTACCATTTCAAAGCACCATTCCGCACTCATTCCATTAGCAAATTTTCTTATTTCGGTATCTTCTACCTATGTTTTTCATTTATTTTCAGTATGATTCAAAAGTCTCATACAGATTTTTAAGAGAAGTTCAGGCATATAAAAACAAGTTAGTTTTACCCCGGAACACGCGTTGGAAACGCAATGGTGACCGTTAAAGGGGCCCTTTTCAGTGCATTAACTAAAGTAAAGGATTCCGAATAATACGTACATCTCAGGTCTAATGAAATATAAGTTGAAAATGGGACAACACAGGTATAACACAAGTGTGTATGTTCAGATATAAATAGCAATGTTACAATGACAAGTAGTGGGCGATATCGCAATTACAATGACCAATAATAACGATATCACAGTTACAATCACCAATAATTAGCGATATCACAGTTACAATCACAGTTTAGTGCTTGCAGAGTGTAGTGTTCAGTGTATCACAGTGTAGAGCTCAGCATCAGATTTTGCATTTATCAACGGCAAATCATTTTAGCACTTAAAATAAGAGCTCAAAGAATTTGCCGTCTGAAGCTATACATGCTTCGTAACTTCTGCGAATGTATCGTCGCCCATTTTCAAAGATGGAAGGTCTCTCGTGGATCAGTGCAGCTACTTCAATGACTTTTACTACAAAATCTTCGTCTGACGTAACAGGGGTTTCATAAAAAAGGTTTTTCATGTACCCAAGGAAGAGGTGAAGGGATCCACAAAGGTCAAGGGAACGAAGCCGCAACGGCCACTCCATTTCTCTGGGAAGTCACATTGAGATAATGCTGGCCAATATAACTGAAATGTGCGGGCGATCTGTCATGCTGAAATCACATGTTATGGATATAATAAGCAAGTTAGTAACGCCAGAGATATCTGATGCGTTCTTCCACCAAGCCGTTCTGGAAGAAGGTATAGGTCTAGCTCGCACAATATTTATCTAAACGCTATTGAGCACCATATAATCTAGTTTCTGGTGGATTTTCATACTCCCAGATCTGTACATTCGTTACATCGTTCTTTGAAAATGTAGCTTCGTCCATGAAATGAGCCTATATTAAAAAATTAGCCTGCGTTACGTCTTATTATAAAAACCAAACTAAAAATGCTAACCGCAGGCTGTAGACTTCAATTCTGAGTGCTGGGGCACTTTGAATGCAGTAAAAGCGTAGAATTATGATGCGATTTGTGAAACGCCTAGAACTGCGAAACGCCAAGCTGTGCATAAATCGGTGGTACAAAGGACTGAACATTTGATGATTTTTGCAGATTTGGATAACGCTTTCGATATAAAAGCTATACTGCACAGTTGTTTCCTTTTGCTTTCCCATGGATGAAACGTATCTTTGTCACTTTTGAATGCCTGTAGTGCTTCACTTTACATCAGCAATATTTCCGCGTCGAATGACTCTGTAACACAAGTTTCAATTCACTCGCTTGCAAACAGCTTTCCCCAGCGGTTGCCCATTGTGTTTGCTACTCCACGTGCTTTTGCAAAAATGACTTGCTCTGTACGTCTGACTTCGAGTTTTTCTGAGGAGTTTTGAATTCGTCTGCATACATGTATACATGGAAGAGCCAAAACATTATGACCATCTACTTAATAACGCGTTGTGAGACCTTCGGCCTGCAAAACATCTACAGCTAGCCTTGGCACGCCTGCCACATATTCTCGGTACTTGACTGGAGACAAGCACGCAGATATTCGGACATGGTGGTGTTTGAACTCGGAGCTGCAGCTCCATGACATTTCAAATGTTCTCTATTGAGTTATAATCCGGCAAGTTATGTGCCCAGGACATTAATTGGAATTCATCTTTATGCTCCTCAAACCATTCCAATACAGTTCAAGCCTTGTGACATGTGACATGGATATGGGGAGTTGTCCTGCTGGAGAATTCCATTTCCAGTTCCGAAGAAATGACCTGCTGTACTGAGGAAACAACTGTTCGCCCTGTACAGCAGATCTGACAACTATGCCTTATGAACAATAAGAATTTGAATTATTGAAAGCAATGAAAGATTTTAAATAGTAAAGAAAAATATATTTACAACAGCCAGTTTAACAAAGTTTTAAACTCAGAAATGCGGTCTCAAAAGCATTTCTGTTCTGTGCTCTGATTAAAACATCGGTATTAAATTTATTGAATAAATTTAATAATTGGTAAATGTATTTTAGTATTAAATTTAGAATTTCTTTAAATAATCAAAAACGCAACGATTATTTGAGCTGTTTATATTTATTTATTATTTGAGCTGTTTGCCTTTGCTTCCTGGTCGAATCATAGACAAATTTAAAATTAAAAAAAAAAATTATGAATGGCTTAAAAAATATTTTCTCGAGTTATATTTAACCAATGATGACTTTATTTAAGCGGATCTTCTAATCAAATTTCTCCTCGTTTAAGGGTTTATTTTTAAATACTTGATTTACATAGATATTGTTTAATACATATCTGGGTGAATCGCAATAATTTCTATTCCCTTTTTATATTCTCTTTTTCGTTTCCTCAAAAAAAGAGGGAGGACAAAGAAATAAGGAATTAAAATAAATTTAAAATTTTGTTCAAATTTATATGCTTGTTTAACTGTTTATTACTTAACCGATAACCTAAAGCCAATCTATAGCAAAGAATTGAGAGTTGGATTAAATTGGATTATTTAGTTATGACGAAGAGCGCAAAGATTATGAGAAGGATGCTTTCTTCAAGGATTTTCTAAAAAAGGCTAGTCTAATTATGTTACAAACTGGAAAATCCACAAAAATCTCATGTAGTAAGCTCGTTCCACTGCCAAAACAAAACTCATGTCAAACAATGAATATTTTCATCCTTCGGGAGTTATTTGGCCATTCACAGTCAAATTAAGAAACTTAAATAAAGTGAGAATTTATATTTCCAAACAATATAACTAACTGTAAATAAATGTAAAGTGAAATATAAAAAATTTAGAAAGTCAATGTAAGTATTCCCAAAAATCTTCGTATTCCCTTAATTTTTAATCTTCTTAGGCTCTAATTATGTTGGTAGAAGAAGCATTTATGATTGGATATGCTTCGAAAGCTATTTTTTACCTTTGCAATGAATCGTCTCACGGCAGTTAAATCCGTCATTTCGATTTCCACATTTTCGCCGCCATATATGCCAGCCAACACAGGACATCCACAGTACAATTCATTGGAGAAGAATGGGCATATTTGAGTTTTGAAACGTTCTAGATAATCACAAAATGGCAGCGTACTTGAAACAAAAATATTATTGTAAGTGTTTAAACTAATAATAATTCAAAAATCTATATTATTAATTCGCTATAATTACCAGTAACATAAATAAACCATTTATTATAGTCAAATATTTCATATTATAGTCAGATAAGCTTTTTGTAATATGCATATACAGCTTTAAATTTTCCTATTCACTGCGTTTGCCAAAGCTAACACAAAATTTTAATTCCGCTTGCTATAGCGAAGTCTTATTAACCTTCCATTACAACGACTAGTGCAAAAATGTCTCTAGCTTATGACAGCACATTAAATCCATTTCATTGCAGCAGTCACTAGTTATAATATCATATCTTTAACGAAGGGAGAAATTATTATAACAAGCGTCGACTGCATTATTTCCTGCGCAGGTGCATGAATGTACTCCGTACATGCGTTTGTCTGTGTGTTATTTTGGATGAGTTTGTGCTATTAATAAAGCTTTTTTGATTACTTATCATGAATATTATATATCAAAAAGTAAGTGAATGTCTATAAATCTAGATTTACTAAGAGCCAATATTTTCGTTATTTCACAGTTGCAAAATTTGTAATTACTTTCACAACTATGTATACTAGGAATACGTTAAAAGCAAGAAAAAATTTATTTGCTAAAAATGTATATTTTGTGACGAAATATACTTCAAAAAGATACTTTTTAGTATTAAGACAGTAATATATATTAACTAAGCATTACGCAGTTGCATGTAAAATTCTCAAATGGCTAATGAAATAAATGACAATAATATAAAAATGCTGGCAAACCACTAAATTTAATTGATACCATAAATGTCATTTCAATTCATCATTTCAAACTGGGCATCATTAAAAAATTCTTACATACCATGATCCATATTTTCCAAACAAACAAGGTATAGGAAAATCCATTTGTAAACCAAAGACCGAACGAAGTCTATAATACTTAGTTTCCAGCATAGCCCCGGGAGGCACGCGGTTGATTAATTCTCCTCTTGCAGTTACAGACATGTTCTTCTTCATATCTATAGGATCTGGAGAAACTCTGAAAACAGATACTTGGACTATACCATCTTCTTTACCTAAAACAAAGCAAAACAGTCATTTTTCTAAAACCCCATAAACAATTAAATGAAATTTATTGCATTTCTTTCTATACAATAAATTTCTATACAATAAAATATATAATTATAGAAATTAAAATTCTATACAATAAATTATAACTAGGGTATATTTTCATTTCTTGTGTAATAATGTTAATCATAATAATGCATCTCTTTATATAATGTGCTAATTAATAGGCTCATAGCTATTAAAATTTATTTGCAGTTTCATAGATTATTTCATAATAGATGTATTTTAACTGCACTATTTCCTTTAATATTAAAATAGAATATATGACTCATTAAACTAATCTATTAAGTCTAGATTGAAATGAAAAACACTAAGTGTAACTGTTCTGAATAATTTTGACTACTAATGTGGGAAAAAATGTTGCAACAAATATGATGGAATAGTTAAATGTTTCAAAAATCTTTTTTAGTACGGATTGGATTCATACACATCTTATGTATATAATTTAACACTGCTTGGTCATTCTCAAGTTGTAGTCTTCAAAAGGAGTGCACTTTTTCTACAACATAACGAATGCTGCTGGACTATCACGGACATCAATGAAAATGTAAAATGTGTATATCTCAGCCCCTGTAAACTTAAGAGGCATGTGAAAATCCTAGGGTATCATAGCCGAAGCTATATAAATGGACTTTTCAAGTGCTTGGCCTGGTTTTTCTATTGTATAACGTATAATCAAGCCACTATTCGTTAAACGTCCACCCGAAAGCATTCCTTTCCTTAAGAAAACAAACGTTAGTTCTTTACATTAATCAATTAAACACATTAACCGGCATCTAGGTATGATGGCAGTCTCTAAACGAATGAAGCTATTGCTTCATTGATTGAGTTTAAGGCTTGTACCTTTCTTTCCATCAATCAAGGGTGAACTGTTTATAAAACGAATGATATTTATGGGATTAGATACGTATGCAACATATATAACATTAGATTATCAAAGTATCGAAAAACTTAGGAGTTTGGCAGATAGTTAGCAACCCGGGTAATACTGATGATACCACAACATCAAATGCATTTTTATATCTGAACCAGAGAAGATCGTCATTACCTGAAATTGAGAATATCACGAACGATCATTGAAAAATAAACATTTCCGCTCTGTTCCAAGTTCTAACGAATAGCATATTCAATTTTCGAACAGATGGACTTATCCTTATGCGGAGGAAATCGCTTAAGCTACGGATCCATTCTGTCAGCAAAATGTTAAGGAAGACAGGTTTGATTTCAAGCTTCTGCATTATAGACATACTCGGATTATATGGATGATATAGAACTAGAAAACTCCCCAGATTTTTGGTATTCACTTTATATTCTGCTAATCCTCGCGCTTACCGGATATGAATCCGCTGAATATTTTTGGGACACCCTAAAACGTCAGTATTCCCTGCAGTAACTGAATAAATAACACATAGGAATACGGCTACCACAGATTGCGATTTACTAAATATCCAACGCAATGATTCAAAACGCTCGTTTGATCGATTTTACCTAGAATAGCTACAGTTATTCAAATGCATAGAAATCTATATATATATGCTTAATTTTTGACATTTCAGTAATTTGGATTTCTTATACAATGTTATGGTTAATTAACAAATTTAACTCAAAATGCATTTTTGTGAACATGCTTAAGATTCAGTAAATCGAACAATGAACTGAAACTTTTGAAAATTGGTACTTCTTATTCTAAAATAAAAAATTTATAGATAAAATACATACTACAGTCTTCGAATTTATAAGTGCATTCTGTTACCGAAACAGGAAGAATAAGCAAGAGTAAAATCCATCCTCGGTTACAGCTGCAGTAACCCATAAATAAAACATGAATAGCCACCTTATCCTCGAATCATTTAAGATTCAGCTCCTATAAGAATAAGTAAAGAAAACACTTTCTTATATAGAATGAAAAAAGTACTTAGACAACACTGATATAGCTAAAATAATGCTCAAAGTTTTATACAATGTATCTCTTATAAAAATTTTTTAAATAGCAACAGTTTAAATTTTACCTAATTTTCTATGTAAAATATAGTTTTTAATATTTAGGTACTTTATTTGTTCTTTCATTGAATTCTTCGTTATTTTTAAGCAAAATTTAAGATTTTCAACCAACATTTAAAATTTTATATGTATTTAATAGAAACTATACAGAGAAAATAAAATGGAAGGAAAGTATTATTTCATTTACTGTCAAAACCAAGTCTTTTGAAGTTATTATTACAAAAACAAATCGATAAATTATTTTAATTACCAAATTTTTAACTTATCTTTCATATTTTATATGATAAAATATTTCCTTACGCAACTGATAACATGCATTAACAATTTCGAATCTTTAATCTATGAGAGCGGTTTCAATAAAATTTTGAAGACTTTTAGAATAAAAGGAAATATTTGCACTGAAAAGAACAAAACCAAGCTTCAAAATAATTAATTCCTATCTACAATAGGCAATTTTTACATCCTGTCTACAATAGGCAAATAGGCTGGCAATTTTCGGCTAATACGCTGCACAATTTTGAGAACTCTTTGCCAGTAAATGAGAATTAACCATTACCAAAGGGTAGGATAAATTATAATTGATGCTATTACTTTTTAAAAGCATCTATACATTAGCTTTGTACTTTTTGCACCTAGTGCAGAGTCTCTAGAAGAGACGTAAACGTGGCCCCACGATATGAGGATCTGCAGCTTGAGGAATTCTGTCGCTCGGCTATGCTTGTCTTGAGAGAAGCTGCAAATTAACCTTGATCTGCAAAGTTCAAAATAATCTCGATGGCTTGAAAATCTAAACAAAGTTTCTGCATATTTGATTTAGCTGATTTAATTCTCTGAGCTATTGTGGTTATTGATTTCATGAGATAAAGGATTTTCTGATCTTTAAAAATGTTAATGATTTCTGCTAAATTTTCCTGCGGGTTTTTCTGCTTAACTTTGTCACTGTAAAGGTTTTTAGGCATTTCTTGATTAGTTTGGGCTGAAGCTTGAATGAATTCAAGAAAGTCATCTTTAGTGGGAATTTCTTGGGGTTTTTCTATCTTCTCTAAATGACTGAATCTTTTTCTGTATACTTACAACCACGATAAGAATATGCGCTATCGACAAGAATGCACAAAATTTATATCATCTTAAGAATTATCTAATCGTTGCCATATGTTCTAATCAAATACTATAATAAATCTAAAACGATGTATAAAAGAAATTAAGCAAACAACAACAACAACAACAATGAAACATTTTTTCACAGACGATTCAGTATTTCTCATTCAATTAATTCAGTTCTCACTTCGCGACAAGGCAAAAATGCATTAAAACTCAAGATTGCTGTACTGAAAATTATAAAGTAAATCTTAAACACTTATTTCCTCAAACAAATACAAGAATGGATTAAGCATGATTCAATTCGCAATAGTAAAAGAAGGCGTTATCTTTGGTATTGCGAAGCTTACTTTCTCTAGATTGTCAACAAATCTACTACTCTGCTGTTTCAAATGTAAACAAGAGAAAAAATTATTAGGCTTAGCTGTACGTAAACAAATTTTAAATTGTTGATAATTCTAAAAATATTGCATAAGATTCACTAAAGGCATAAAAACCTTAACCGGAAGATAAGAACAATATAATTCAATTATTTTTAAAGTAAAAAACGCACAATTCACAAACATACTATAAGAATAAAGAAACTGAGATCACTGAGCCTAATAAAGAGTGGATATATATATATACTTATATTTGCATACTTTTGGTGCGGCCGATTGTAACCAAAATACGAGGTGCGCATCTACATGTTATAGCAGTCCTGTATACAAAATTTCAAAGTTCTGAGGGTACTCATTTTCGAGTTATGCGAGATACATACGTACGTACGTGCATACGTACCTACGTATGTAAAACTTCTCTTCAGAATTCATTTAAAATTAGTTTTACAATTTTTTTGGGGGAAAATAGTCCTTTATCCTGTCCTTACGTACATATGTCACGCAAAAACATTGTTAAATTTCATTCGATAGCGGTGAAAATGGATATTTGCGTTGAAATATGATGCCTGAAACTTTTCGCAATAACAATACTTCCTTTTTACTTCGTACAAGGCAGTAAAAAGAGCGAATTAGAAAGTCAAACTTGTTAAAAAACTTGTTATTCTCCAAACTGAAATTTAAAACAAGAATAGTACTAATTTTAAGGTTCAGATTAGAAGTTTTGATGCATGTACAGTGAGGCGAAAGCATCCATATAACCTGTATAATATGAAAATAATTTAATATTTTACAAAGAATTTTCAGTTTTAAGAAGCTGAGTCATACTTAAATAAACGAAATTATCACTGAAAAATACACTCTATCGCAAAAAAAATATATATGCAGACAGAAGGAAACGGACTACTATCACGAAGCTTAACCATGTAGTATATAGTGTATGAAGAGATAAACAAATGATTATAAATACAGAAATAAATATCTTTTTATTAAGAAGTTAAGGCATGAAAAAGGTTACAAATCAGTAAGTAGTATAGCCAGCTCTGCTAACTATACAAACTCGAAACATGGCGTGGCATCGAATCAGGTAGGTCACGTATTACCTCCTGCAGAAGAACATGCCATAATCTTTCCCAGGAAGAATTCCTGGCAAATATTGGCTAGGATCTGTACTTAGGCAGTCCCAACCATGGGGACACAAAATCAATCTTCGCAGGACTAAAACTATTGTTTATTCGGTTCTCGTTTCAAGCTCGGCTGATACCGTACTAGTATTGCCTTTTCCGTTCCCGAGGCTGTGGTCCTGCGCTACATGGTGATTGGTAACGGCGGTCTGAGTGGGTTTTGTTCTGCTCAGTTCTCGGTTGGTTCTCCACCACATGCCCTCTGCGTTACAGAACGCAAGACTTAGACCCCCGTCCTGGGTTCATCTAGGGATCTAGGTTTTATTTTCTAAGGTTCTGAAACCTTCTTCCACTCGGGAGAAACCTCCGCAGTCCCCTCCTGGCTTCATACAAAGCATTGGGACGAGCAAAAAAAGTTTCAAACAAAATACGCTAAGACACCTTTGCCTCCAAGCACCACTCTACCCAGCAAACATAAATACAAATTAGTGCTCTGTCCACTCTGCCAGACTCTGTCGCGAGAACCGAATGGTGTCAAAACCCGAATACTAAGTCGGTGATCTCCGATGTAGCTCTACAATTGCCGAAGAAATGGGCTCGACAGTACAAGAATGGTCCCTGTCAAGCCCAAACCTGCTACTGAATGAAAGGGGCTCTAGTCCTGTGAATACTGATTTTATACTCCCGTGGTTGAAACTGCCTAAGTACAGATCCTAGCCTGTAATTCCCAGGAATTCTCCTGAGTCAATCCACGCCGGGAGCCTCTGCATTACAGAAAGAACAACGTTCATGGTTCATTCTTCGCAACCGAAGTCGTGCCCGGGTTGCAAAGGTGCCTCTGAGTAACTTTGAAGCCCGCAACCGGGATGGTGACCCCTGCAAACAATCTTCGTGCAATTCGTCAGGCATTGGAGGGCGGGGCACTGAGCCAGTCGAATGCCAAACTGTGGGGGCTAACCCCCCTCTGACCATCTTCGGCGGGTGGAGGCTAATTCATGCTAAGGGCGTTTACTTGCCTAGATAATGGGACCCCCGACTGAGTGAAATAGCTGGGAGAGTCGCGCAGTATTTGGACGTGCATTGTCTTGTTGATAAATAGCACCTGGACGACCTTTTAGCATAGGCAGTGCAACTGGCCTTAAAATGTCGTCCGTGTAAATGCGAGCCGTCCTAGTGCCTTGAAGGACGACTAGAGGTGATCGTGTGTACCAACAAATCGCTCCTTACACTGTCACACATTGTGTAATCGCCGTATGCTGCTCGACAACAAATGCTGGATTGGAAAGCCGGTCTGGCTAACTCCACACGCGTATGCGTTGGTCATCAGCATTGAGACTGAATCAAGACTTATCAGTGAAGATCACACGCCTGCAGTCGTTCACATTCCAGCTTGCACGAGCTTGGCAAAATTCCAATTGACAGGGCCTATGATGTGGGGTCAGTGGCAGGCGTCTTAATGGATGTCGACAGTATACACTAGCGTCGGCCAGTCGTCTCCGAATGGATTCCCTTGATATCCCGGATAACTGGAAGGTGGTAAATGGCGTCGAATCGATGCTAACCACGTTGTTAGTGCGGAAGTCGGCTCTCTTATGATTGCGCGACCCTCGCGCTTGTTTGTATACCTGGAACGCTTTGGCCTTCCGTGACGGTAGACTACAATATCGCTCCTATAGAGGTGGCGGCCGATACGCCTGTTCGACCAACCTGCTTCTCTGAGGCCTACAGTACACTCCGTCTCAAAGTCCGACAACTGTTCGTACTGCCCCCGGTTATGTCTCAGAAGCATCTCTAGTTACACTGCCGTCCATCCAAGTCGACAGATTCGTTTGAATAGCCCTACCGCATGAGCAAACATGCTTTTAAACTGTCCTAGCTGAGCATCTCATATGCGCATAACGCGCTTACCCCTGTCTCACTGGCATCGAAATTTAAATCATTTGTATATCTCTTATCAGACTACATTCCTGCCTAGTTTCGTGGTTGTAGCTCAATTTTTTCTGGGTACATATATTTTTTGTGACAAATTGTATTTCAGTGATGATTTTGCTGAATTATGTTTCAATGATTGTTTCAAACGGTCACTGAAAAATATTTCACTCATGATTTATTTCAGTGATAACTTTAAATGGTCACTGAAAAATATTTCAGCAATGGTGCAGCATATATTCATATAAGAAACAAATATAGATAATTAATGTAAAATATTGAAAAGGTTAAATTAGCATGGAGTGGAAACAATAGTGGAAAATATTTATTTATACACCTAATATTATGTTAATTTTACTTTGTATGTAATTATAAAGGAAAACATTTTAATACTTAATGTAATATCCTTTTGCATTAATAACAGCTTGAAGACGTTCGGCATTGAATTTACAAATTCAAGCATAGTTCTTTGTTAATCCGTCCCCCATTTTTAAATTAAGTGACACTCAAGGTTATGTTTAGCTCATTACTGAGAACTTATGAAGTTTCCTTTACATTTCATCCCAAATATATTAGGTTGGGTTAACGCCTGATGACTGTGGTGGAATTTCCAGAATATATCAATCACTCTTTCGCTATTCAAGAATCATCGTCTTGCTGAAAGTAAAATTTTCAAGAACTACTCAGTTTTTGAGCACGTTGTTTCAAATTAGTTTTTTAAAGTGCTCAAGTAACGTATTCATTCAAAACACCATTAGTTATGACAAGTTTCTAGCACCGTTTGCAGCCATGCATCCCTATGCCATTATATATAATATACATCATTGCATTTGTACATTTTCTCTTTTCATGTTTTCGCCAGCTTTCTTCCACTCTAATATGTGTTTATTTAACTTCCAAGGATTAAATTTACTTCCATATGAAAAAGAAAAAGTTACTTATTGCTAAAGTTCTTGAATTCTTTTGTAAATTCAAATCTCACCACTCTGTTATCTTTTCTATGAATGATTCCGTCAAGTTGCTCGAGAATGATATCCAGATTTGTTTTAAAGAGATTTCTAATTGTACTAGAGCGAACCTCTTTTCTGGTAGTTTCGCCAAGTTGTGATGCAATAGCAAAAGACTTTACAAAAGGATTTAATTAATCTTCTACAAAATGAATCGTTCATCGACCTTGGTCAGCTTTAGAAAATACACTTATATTCCATTTTATCGTGTAACAACATAAACATATGGAAACTCATAGTACAAGAAACACTGAAAGATTTTGCCTCTCTGAGAATTTGTTAAAATCTTAAATTTATTTCTAGAAATTCAATGTTTCAGAGCTAAAATATGCTACGGAAATAAAATCAAAAATTAAAATTTGGTTAAAATAATTATAAATTTTGCCTAGAAATTACTCCGAATGACATTTTTTGTCGTCTTCACAGTTTCATCATTTATAAAATTTATAATTATGTATATTACTTTTAAATTAATTCTAAGATGTTTAAAATGCAAAATCTGTTAATCTCTTGCCATAGGAAGTAAAACTGCTTTCAAAGTAAATTTAGCAGAACAGGGTAAAGATGCTCATTAGGAGATGGTTAATATAAACTGTAACATAATGAGAGTATAAGGAAAATACTTTATATAGGAGATACTGAAAGCCTTAACCTTTTTAGAAATCACAAATCAATCCCTAGCATAAAATTGAAAAAAAAATCTAAAAGCTTTCAGATTTTATATTACGCTTATAGGAGGGTTTTATTTAACATAGCAATATTACAAAATATTTAAAAGAGCATATCTTTAGAATTTCTGATACACAGCCTCACGCGCTGGAGATAAAAAAAATTTCCCGTACAGTGTTACCATTGCAGCGTTGAGTTTCTTAATCAAAAACTTATAACTGTTTTACAAAATATGAAATTGTATTAAAAAAAATTCTAAATTTGGCCTTCCACATGCCTATATTCGGGTGGAGATGTATATTTTTCAAAATTTGATGGCTCTAGGTACCTTTTTTTTCCCAATGCCAGAAATATGTATACATTTATTCAGATTCTTCATTATTGAATTTCTTTAAATATAATACAGGGCTGTACTATTTGGTGGCAACAAAAAGTGAATCAATGCAAAATGCTAAAACAAAATTAGTAGCCCTTCTGGGCAAATTGTCCCTTTGGGTTAAAAAACTAAAATTCTCCAAGCACACACAAAGGGCAAATGGTGTTTTTCTGTCCAATTAATTAATGTATTTTCTAGAAAACCAAATTGTCATAAATTTATTCCTAGGGCTGAATTCCTGATATCTGCAATTTAAATGTGATCAAAGTATAATCTATAAAATATTTCTTCCGCCTTCCTAGCGTGCCTTCGTGGTGTAGTGGGCCGGTATTTCAGATGTCCGCGGTTCAATTCCCGGCGAAGGCGGTTGCTCATTTTTTATTTTCTTTGCTTCCAAAAAAATACCTAATGTCTTACAAATATACTTAGATAACAAGTGAAACACATTCTGTATTAATACAGCATTTCAACACAAAATTTGTCTTATTCTATATCGTCATACCATACCTTAAATGGAATATAGTATAATTATTTTAACATATTTTTCTTGGTCAGAAAACAATCAGAGTAGAGAGAAAGAAGCGAAACTGAAGATTATTTCAAGCAGTAGAAAGAAACAATAATAGAAAAGTTATATAAGTGTGAATTATTTTTAAGTTATGTTTCTCTTACCGTAAAAAACTATTTAGTAAAAGAGAGCAACACGTATAATCTCATTTTTGTATTTTGTGTCTCGTTAATGCTTGTCATGAAACTTTTATTAAGATTTTAAGTAATATTATTAATCTAACTACACTCATGTCCATAAATTAAGGATAATTCGGAGTCAAGCGGAAATCGAACTCTAAAATAAATATATCACCTGTAAAATCACTACACACATTTTCAAGAATCATATGCAAATTTTCAGGAAGTAATCAGACAACACCGATGGTACGTCACAATGACGAGAGTGTAAGAGAGTGATATACTATAAGGAATACAGGCAAAGAAGTAAAATTGTTCGCAGGCGCTATATAAGCATTTCAGTGCAATAATCGAATAGTTATGACACAAAGGACGCATTTGCATGATTTTTTACGTGGTAGAATTATCGACCGTCTGCAATGTGGGCGTACCCAACTGGAAAGTATCAGACAGAATTGCCCAGAGTGTCATGTCCAGGCTTTGGCAACGATTCCAAGATGATGGTAATGTGAGTAGACGTTACAGCATAGGTCGCCCCAGAGTTTGAACGCTTAGGGCAGATTGGTCTATATGCTCGTAGACCTGTCAGATCCGTTCCACTTACTGAAACTCATTGTCGCCTGCGGTTAGCCTGGAGTAGAGAGCATGCATTGTGGACATCGCAACAGTGGGCTTGTGGGATGTCTTCCGACGAGTCCAGGTTTAGCTTGCAGTCTGGTCCTCGCCGGACTTTCATATGGAGAGCTCCAGGTATCCGTTACCACCAAGAAAACATCATTGAAGGACACCGTTACGGTGGTGCAGGAGTGCTCGTTTGGAGTGGAATTATTCTGGGTTCCAGAACTGACCTGCATGTTCAAATTGGAACCATGACAAGTCAAATCTATCGGGACGTCATTCTGGAACAACATGTACGTTTGTTTCGGGCGCCATGGGTGCACAATTTGTGTTTAAGGATGACAACGTCCGTCCTCAAAGTGCAAACATCGTAAGCGAATGCCTTCAGTCGGAGGATATCACCCGTATGGACTGGCCAGCATTCTCACCGGATTTGAATCCAGTAGAGCACGTGTGGGATATGCTTGGCCGACGATTTGCAGCCCGTCAACCTCCTCTTGCATGTCTACCGGAACTTCGGAGAGCAATGCTTTTTGAGTGGTGTAATATCCCCCAAGATCAGATCGATAATTTGATATTCAGCATGCCTGGGCGTTCAACGGACTGTATTGCATCGTCTGGGAGACATGCAATGTATTAACAATCATACCAACCATGTAATATTCGTTTTTTGTAAATAGGTTTTTTTTTTTTTTTTTTTTTTTTTTTTTTTGTAATTTGCTCCAGGGAGAAAAAATCGCAATTTTTTTTTAAATAATATCAAACATATAGCATCTTTTTTTTGCTCTTTACCTTTTGTTTAATAAATAAGCTTTACAAATAAGTCCAATTTGTTTTGCATCTAACTCTTCCTTTGCCTGACTTTGCATTTTCCTTAATTTATGGACATGAGTGTATTTGGATGATGGCAATGCATATGATCAGGGCTATCTGCCTAAGGAATGGATACCTCTGTGGCGAACTTTTTAAAGAAAATTGGCTCGTATTTATGTTACACACAACGAAAACACGAAAACTTCCATGCAGCAACCCTTTCGCTGGTATTTGAACCCAGATCAAACTACTGCGATCACTAACGATCTACCAGTTCAGCCATCTTACTGTCAGGCCCCTAGTGGAGACGTTTCCGCTTAGGTAATCTTCATTAATATTTAATGTAATTAAAGCAGTGTTTTCATCAAATAAACAAAAAAATGGCAAAAAAGAAAAAGACATTTATTCAAATGTTTACTTTCCCAAAATTCAAAATTTTTAATAAAACAGAAATTAATATTTTCGAGAGTAATAAAAGCAATCAAGCAAAATATAAACTAAACACACATGAAAACAAAGAAAATATTAATATAAATTAACCATTTACCCAACATCTATGACTAACTACAGATGCACCTCTGTTACCCCTTTCCTAAGCTCATGAGCTCGTTTGTATTTGAAGAGAGGAAACTAAAAAACAAATATGTGTGGTTGCTTGGGTGGTGAACAGATTATGGCAAAGCAAGCGAATAGTATCTGCGTTAAGAAGGTTAACTTCGTGAAGAACAATGTAAAGTAAATTTAATCGCATTCATTTTGTGCATGTCAAAAATTATATAAACCCCGTACAACTAGCAAGTTTCCTTTGAACCCAATTCGATAAGAACAATTTTAAACCATCTAATTCACTAGACTTCTAATAGATCACAGCAAATACTGACATTTCAAAAGAAATTTGAATTTAAAAATAATTAAATTTTCTAAAAGAAACTGCTTTTAATTAGATCGCTTGAAAAGTATGTGAACTTTATAAACATGTACTTACCGCGAATAATTTGAAGGCAGTTTAACTTAATCCATAACGCATCATCCTTTTCTGAAAAGACGGTTAAAGCCGCAACAGCATAAAATAGAACTTACTCCACCCTTCTTTTGTGTTCCACATATGACACGATGCTTAAAATCATACCCTATTTCAGACTTTTCTTTTGTTATTAAGCGCAACCTTGACTACAGGAAGAGAGAGAGAGCGTGGGGCAGTAAGGGAAACAAAAAGAAAATTTCCTGGGATTGTCATTTGGTTCAGTATAAACAAACTTTTGGATCATTTCCAAGGGAAGCACCATTTACACTTAAAAACAGCACTTCGGACACTTTAAGTTTTACCACCATACTGTTTTGAAAGACAAAATCGAAGTATCACCCTGCCAAGAAAAATATAGAGTAATCTAAAGCAGCTGAAAAAAAAATTCAATTAATTTTTTAGTTTATTATTTTGGGTAAAAATTGGGAAAATATTGTAAAAAATTAAAAGTATACATAAATGCAGTCAAGATAATTTTAATTACATGTAAATTATGTGCAAAGAAAATTTTTTGAAAACAATTTTAAATTAAAATTATGTAAATAATTTACTGTCATTTCGTACAATAAATGCGCTCAAGATGACATCTACCTTTATCTTTCATCGGTTCATATAAATCGGTTATCGCTACTCAGAAATTCAACGAACGTTCAAATACAGTCGCGAATCCAGGCAAATCAGAAGGAAAAAAGTATTCGAAACTTAATTTTACTCATTTAAATATATCGAGCCGCAATTATTTGCTACCCAAATATCTGTACTCCAGTTATCCAAATGGCTTGCCTTTTTTTTTTCCTTCTTACCTCTAGACCAGGTAAGCTGTTAATTTATTTATGTATTTTTAATTTAATAGTTTAAAAGTAAATGCATAATTATTGTAATAACAATATACTATATTGTTAATTTAGTTATTTATGAAGTTTATATTTTAACGTTATTATACAAGAAACATTTTATTATACTGCAGTCATATTTTAACCTAAAATCTAAAATGAAACCATATAAACACAAATATTTATGTAAACCTACAGTATCACGAATGTTATGTGCTTCAAAGAAGAAACTGCGATGCCTTGGGGGAAGCATTAATCGAAGTCCAGTTTCAAGCCTTCCATCAGTTAAAAATTTGAGACTATTTATTATTTGAGAATCTTATTATGTTAATTAACTAATGAGTGCTCCGCATACTTAAAGAGATCAGATGTTGTAGTTTTCAAAGAAAAGATCCTGGAACATTATCTAAGGAGGTGGTCTCAAACTGGTAGTCCCTGACCCGATACGGCCAGTAAATATATTTCCCGTAAACATATTAGCATTATTATGACAAAATTTAAATGTGTAAGATTTTGATGATTTGGAGCATAATTTTACATAATTTCAGTGCTATTAGAAACAGAAACTTACAGAAACCCCCAAAAAATCTAACAATTGAGGCAAATAAATCTTAGTCAAATATTTGAAGATACAGTTTTGATTAACTTTATTTCTACTTATCAAAAGATAAAGTTATCAGTTCTCAGTTATCAGTTTTCACAATACGAATAATCGCTTTGTTTGGGAATGCATTTATATGTGAACATCCTTGTTTTTCTTCAGTTGAAAATGGATAAGTCTAAAAATCAATGAAATTGACCGATAAACATTTACAATTCATGATGAAGATGGTTTCTAATAATTTTTCCTCTTAGGTTTGAAACTTTAGCAAAATTGAAGCGCCGTGATGTGTTGTAAATGATATACAACTTATAAAAAACGTACATTTATACAATGTATAAAGTAATTAATTTTAAAATTTATATATTTTTCTGTAAGCGTCAAAGAAAAGTTTAATAAAGAAAAGAATGAGAATAGTTGAAATTTTCAAATTTTGATCCACTTGGAAAACTTTTGTAATTGGTTTATTTTTAGTTTCAGATAAATGTAAGTCGTTTGTTTGACGCATTAGAATTATTTGAAATAAATGTTAATCTGAAAATTTAATATTTAGCTGTTAGTGCGTTTGAATTACACAGTATATATCAGAAATTTTTTACTAACCTATACAGTTTGTTGTTGTTGTTTTCATAGTATAAACTAGATACAATCTCTGTGCAGACATAGGCAGAATTATCCCTGTGCCTGAAGTTATCGACAAAGTCTTAGAAAGGTTTTAAAACAAAACCTTGAAAACTTAATATTTTAATGTCAGTACGTTTGAATTACAATGCGTAACTATTAGAAATTTCTTGAAGACTCCAACCTCAAAATTTACTTAAAAAATGTGTTTTTATTTTTTATTTTTTTTTCGGGGAGGGGGAAGAGAATTTGGGCCATCCGCTACATCTGGAACTTGAATTTGGCCCACATGCACTTTGAGAGTACATTATAACAGCCGCATTCCTTTACGCAATACAATAAAAGAAATTGCAGCGCATTTTCTTTTGATGAATGGTATAACTCGAGTAAATCATTACACGCATGACAAGTGCAAGAATTAAAACTTCAATAATTGTTAAATTCGGCTTTTTACTGAATTTTTTAGAAGCAACTTCAATATGATAAGAAGGATCAGGTTTAATTTAGATGCACCGGAAAGCTGGCGTATAAAAAATTTGAATGAAAATAGTGAAGTTCAACCTCATTTAACAAGACTCACGCACCGCAGAGACCATTTTCAAGATTACCTCACCAAAATTTTCCGCGAACATAAATAGCATTTCCAAGAACATCTGAATTAAAATCTGCCCTTATGCGCTGGACAAGATGACACTTCGATTCGGTAGCCACAGCAGTCTCCAAATTTAATTCCACAGCTTTCTCTTGTATGTGGAATCTCTTGATCCCTTCAATTCACGGAAATATTTGGCCTAACTTAGATTGCCAGTTTGGCATCGCCTTATTACTTGAGTAAAGAACGAAACACCTTCGTATTTATTTCTTAATTATTGTTCATTGAACGGGAGTTGATTTGTTCCCCTTGAAAAGTCAACTAATTTCCAATCAATGGCAATGGTTGCTTGCTTTTAATTTAAGTACTTGCTTTTATTTTAATTTCTTTTTACAATTGAAATTTTGATATTCATGATTTAGTTCAAGTTCCCGTTAAACATTTTTAACAATTTACATTCAAGTTACTTAAAACAATTCTCGGAATTAAACTTACTAACTATGGATTCACTCTTTTTAGATAATTCTTCTAAAAATAATCTTAGAAGATAATATAAACAATTTCTTAGAAATAATTATATATATATATATGTATATATAAATAATTCTTATTAGATTATCTTCTATAAAATAAAGGGTAAAACTATCGTGATCGAATCTATTTAAAGTTAATATTTAAGAAAATTTACACAAAACAATTAAATATGTGATATACCTGGAAGTTTAAAATGATAAAGTCAATCACTCAAAACTCAAAGTACAAAAAAATCAAGATAAAACAAAAACTTAAAAATTTAAAAAATGTCAAGAAAATTAAAATAAAATAAAGTTAATTATTGATCTCGTGGAAGAAATTTGACTTTTCAAGGGAAATAAATTTTGTTCGATAGAATCTGTATTAATTTGGTCTAGTCGTATTTCGTCCACTTTCCATATTTGAATGAACCGTTTAAGCTTGCGAAAAAAGTCTAACTTATAATTTTTTTTATTTAAAATTATTAGTTTTTGAATATAGAACAGAAATTTCCCTACGCGATATTTGTACATATGTTATAAGGTTCCAACCTTAAATTTACAGCTATGCGTGTGGAACCTTGAGAACTGGTAAGCGAATAATCGCTTTAGCTCAGGAAACAGAAACGTAAACTCATGAAGGGTTAATTACCCTTTATTGCTCAAAATAAAGTTTAACAGATGGCCCTTTCTCAGGACATATAGAAAAACCTCCACTTGGGCTTGAACTCAAGAATACTAAGAAAATCAAACTTAACTAATGCATAGCTAAAAAGACATAGCCGAAGCAGGAATTCGTCCCTAACTGTTAACTAAACGTCGAAGCTATCAAGGGCCTGAAATACCGCCGAGCGTAGTAATAGCTTAGAGTGTAGCCAAACGGCGAACGTGCGCTAGTCATAATCTCTGGCTCTCTCACGAAGTCAGAAGAACTTCGACTTAAGTACTGCACTTCCTTCATTTGCATTTAACCGCGATTCTAAAAACACACTCTGGCAGGAAATTTGTAAGCTGAAATTAGAAGGGAGAAGAAAGTAGCTTTGACCAAAGATAACTGTTAAAAACTTCAAATAAACCTTGCAATGTTTCTACGGAAGGAATAATAAAACTTATGAGACATGTTTGGCTCTAATTTTATGACTTAGCCAAAGACTAGAAGAATAATCCGTAATGTTAAAACGATTTATCTCGACTTTCCTAATAAAAATCATTATACAACAGCATATAATGAAAATTATAAAATTATAATGAATTTCAAGTCATGATTTTTTGCTGATAAATGAATTAGGGAAATAAAATGAAGTTGTGGAAAAAGTTTCATAAAAGCCCATTACCCTTTATTGCTCACAGATAATTTATTTTATTAACTACCAGTGACGAAGAGTGCATAGTGAAACCAATCACAAACAATGCATGATACGGTTATCGTCTTAGTCGGAATGCTTTCAAGAGAACAGAGAATACCTAGCTCGTATTTGGTTACATAAAACCAATATTGAGAATGTTCATTAATGTGAAATCTTAAGCTGTCCTTTTCCGATTTGTATCAAGAATTTATATTACACGGAAATTTAATTATGCAAATAACAATCCATAAATTGATATTTATAATGAGAAAAATTTAACTCTTGTTTAAAGTTAGACATGAAATATTCTTGTTAGACATGAAATGCCTATCAAAATATAAAATTCAAGTAATATTACAGACAATAATAATAATGATAAAACGAAAAAAATACAAGTATTTATTTAGTCATATTTCTGATTATACCTTTGAGTAAAGTACATTCATACACATGCACATATACATTAATATCATGGCTTGATTTCTCCTGTAAATTCGAAACAAGCTAAGTCTTTGCGACTGTTTATATCTCGCAGCCTCATTTCAATCTGAAATTTTCCCTGTAAAATAAAAAAAGCTCTTAATCAGTTATATTACTGTTTCTTCGCACATTTTTTTGCAAAGATTAAAATCTTTGCATAAAATGTGCAGTGTAGTTTACATCCGATGTTTTAATTAAAATAATCAAATCATTAAAAATATTCATAAACTAAAATATTCTCTTTTTATTTAATAAGATTTTATTCATAACTCTCTGAACACTTCCATAAATTTTATGAGTTGCTATTTTTTATGTCAAATTACGCGTCATTCCAACTTAATTTTTTTATGTGTGACAAAGATCTACGCAACTTTTAGCTTTCGCAGATTTTGAAGGAGAATTCTAAGTTGATATCTTCAGATGAGTTCCAAAACTATCAGTTCGTACTTGTTTTTCGATACCATTCAGCTAATTCTATAACGTATATATAGTTGCTAACTCAATTTTTTAATTTGACTGTCTGCTTCTTTCTAGTTTTCAAATACGTTGCTTGCTCTCTGGAAATATATGTGAAGCAAATAATTAGGAAGAAAATGCTGTTGCTCTTCTGGAGGTACGTAAGTAGCGAGCTAACCGTAACCGAAGTCAACACTGGCACAAAAAGCGATTGTTCAATAGTGTATGCAGAGATGACGCACTGGCAACCCTTGATGTGCATTTTTGCATTCTTTATCAGAAAAAAAATATTTATATAATAATGATTCTCGAATATAATGCGTGTACATGTTCATACTTCTCACAAGAGCCAGACAGATTTGTTAATTTTGAGTTCTTCTGAATATAAAAAATATTACTGAAAACGTACTTTAGTGATGCTATTTCGCATGGACCTCCATGAAATTATCACTAATATGTACTGTATTTTAAGCGTTAGAATTTAAGAAAATGGCCATCCCTGCAATATGGCACTGGAAATTTCGTGGTGTGAAGATCAAGAATTAAGTTGATTAGTGAGTGCTTATTTGTTTTGCAGCAGAGCGTTTGCTGTGAGTATTAAAGTTGCTGCTCTTAAGTGAGAAAAATATGCTTGATTTCCAGCAAATAGCCTAGTATAAAAATACTTAGTTCATTATTCTACCACAGCAAATATTCTGTTTATGTGTGTTGTTCTTCAAATATATAATCAATAGTTTCCAGTAAATATACTTAATTTTATAAGCCTCTGTATAACAAGTAAAGATCTCCGTCAGTAATAGTTCACTCAAATAGGAAATCTAATCACTTTAAAGTTTTACTTTAAGTTATGTAATATTTCATACATTCAAAGATAAATGTTACAATACATGAAAATGTAAATACAGTTGGTATTCAAACGCTTTTAATTAGCCAAAATACAGAAATATCCATAGTTTGGCTAAAATAGTATCTAGAAAATATTGTGACAGTTATTTGAAAAAGTAAATATTGTGACAGATATTTCTTTATTTTACAACTTGTGAACAAGCAAATAATATGAATATTATTAGCAATTAATACAGTCTGTGCGGTTTGTTCCAATGTGTGTGCTGTTCAGACTTACTAAGCAACAAAATATTGCATAAAACAATGAAATATCGATTATTTATTGAAAAAAAAAAAAGGCACATAAAGTAAAACTGAGTGTAAGGAAACACAATGTTGAATAATGTAGATTTTATTTTAAAAGTAGCGCTTTTAGCAATTCAAAGACGGCCATCTTTTTAATTTCCATATATAACTAAATGAATGCTAATATTACAAAAAGAAAGACAGATTGATGAAATGTCTTTCTGCTTGAGGCATTAATATTTTGTTTAGCTTATTCAATAAAATAGTTTTGAAGTTACATAATATAGCACAAAACTTTTCATTTACTTATTCATATATTTCTGTCATTTATTTTTATTTTACAGAAGACTTCATCTAATATTTTTCATTAAAGCTCTAATACATTAAAAGACATTTTTATGGTGCAGAATAATATAAGACTGCCCTTCAGCTTGGCGAGAAGTTTTATAAATGCGCATGTACTTGAAAATATACATTCACATCTACATTTTGTTTATGTAAGTGTGCCTATATCGGGTAAAATGCACACATATAGTAGATAGAGTATTAAAGAAACGTGGTTGCTTTAAATATTGTTTATATATATATATAAAAAAAAATTCATTCTATTTCAAAGTTTCTTAAAATAAAATGCAAACTTTACCATGCTTTAAGCAGCCACAAATGAAAATTTCAAACACAAGAAAATTTTGCAGTTATATTCGGAAATGGTCTTCAAGACTTACGAGCTTATTAAGTTCAGGATTTAGCAAAAATTTAGAAGGCAGCTTTAAATTGCTCAGTTTCTCGTTTTAACTATTAATGATATCGTCTTGTGCAAAACAGCATTTAGTTTTAAACAGCATTAAATCTATAGCTACCCTCTAATCCAGAGGTCTCCAACATTTTTGTCCCTAAGAGCACATTCTAGAATGGACTAGAATTCTAGTTGGACGGTAAGCACCATTTACTTTTCAAGGCATTTTGCAAGGAGAATTTATAGTTGGATAGAATTTAAAAATCCTAAAACAGTGACACATAAAAAACATAAAAACATATAAAATTACCTATTAAAAGATAATTATCGAAAAGAACATGCATGCATCGAAAAGAACATGCATGCCGAGGCAAATCATTTATTGTTACACAATTAACCATTAGTGGTAGCAGTTATGGTAATCAAAGGTCATTAATAGCTTGTTAAGTAAAGACGTATATTACCGAGGCAAACCATTTCAATATTGCTCCCAAGTCTGGCATTGGTATTGTAACTTCATTCCCACTGTATGAACCAGCTTTTATAGGGCATTTACATTCTCTGTCTTTAGGAAAGAAAGGGCAAAGCTGTTGTCCATATTTTTTCAGGAAAGCACAATGGTCCTCTGTGCTGAAAAAAAAAAGTGTAAAAGAATATGAGATGTTTAAATAAAAATGCTTTTAAACTTAAAACTAGATTTTATAATACCTAGCAGGGGCCGCTTAATTGGTTCTACCGATATCTCCCCTTAACCAAAGAGAAAATATCATATAGTAGCTGAAACGGGAATTCAGTTTTAGAGAATCCATAAATCCGGACTGCAGTTAACTTATTACAGTTTAATGGAGAAAAGTGGAATTTATTTACCTCCACAAACAATACTATTAAATACTTAAATTTAAATCGAAGTTTAATTATGATTTTTCCCCTTACTATAATCTTCCCTTCAATTTCAGTTATTTATTTGCCATAATGCATCACATAAGAACTCTACAATTCTTCATATGATTCATATCTGGGTGTTATTCAGTTTTTATGTTACGTTTATTTGCAACTTTTTCTATCGAAAAGTTATGCATGCAAACCTTTCAGTATAAAATCTTAATTTTATAATTTTTGGAAACTCTCACATTAATCTTTTCTTTAAAACAATTTTCGGTTGCTCAAATAATTGAAATTATATGTTTCTTACCAGGAGCCCACGTTGTTTATGCAAGGAGCTATAACCTTCAATCCAAAAAACCACGTTATCTTGTAAACTTTGGAAATGATCGCTGTTCCAGGCGGTATATCCTGATCCAGTTGAACACTCAAAGATGCTGTAATATTTTTGCTGAAGGATAGAGGATTTGGTAATAGGTTAAAATTCGTGATTCTGGCGATGCCATTTCCATTCACTGAAATATAGATCAAACAATAAATATCCAATGTAATTGAAAATGATTAAAAAGTTAAGCAATAGCAACTTGTTCTTTTTGATTCTAATTTAACACTCGAAAGAAGTATTTAATCTTTAAAACACGAAATTATTACTGAGGCATTTTTGACATCAGAAACATCTGAAGTTTCTTCTTTCTTTCAGTTTTGAGGTTACAAGTGACTAAAGGTGTTATTTCAAGACCGTATTATTTGTATTATTAAATGACGTTTCCAACGCCCTGCATGGGTTCGCACAGGTATGGAAAAAAATCATTGCAATTCAGCAAGTTTCCAATAAAACAATCAAACTTTAACTAATACAACTGTTTTTATAATTTTTAATTATGTTGTAGAGTAATTAGGATTTTTTTAAGCAGCGGGCGTAAAAAATGTGCAATGCTCTTGCCGGGGCTCGAACCTGGACCTTTCGAATACGCGCCGAGGGAACTAGCATTATACCACAAAGGCATACTGGAAAAAAAGGAGAAAAATACCTTATATACTTCCTTTTAAAGTTCGACTGGAGATTAGGAGACCCAATGTCAAAATCCTGGTGGGGACGAATTATTGTCTACCATCTTTTAGTTCGGGCGCCACTCTAAAGTCATTAGGCTGTTTTGACGCTGGAGAAATGAAAAATGTGCTATGCTCTCGTCGGGACCTATTGAATACGAGATGAGTGTGCTACCGTTGCACTGTAAAAACTTTTCTTACATTGACTCTAAAAACGATTTGCGATATTTTTACTTTTTGAAATCCTAGATTGTATATAAGTAGATTTATCCATAATTAAAGGTAAACTACTAAAAATTTACTTTAAGGTTAATGATACAATTGAACTCATTTTATTTTTAATCAGTACTGAGCGCCATTGCTTCAGTGACAATAAGCAATTGCTACGAAAGAAGACTGATTTCACCATTTTCTTGTTAGATACGAAACTACACGTTATAGTCAAGCCACGCTGGGTTTGATCTTAAACACATAATATTGCTACTCTTGAAGTTTTTAAAATATTGTAATAGGAAAGATTTAAAATAAAATGTTGTTTAAAAACGCCTGTCACTTAATGAAATTGAAGAAGATGTCATTGCGCTAGAAGCTATATCGACAGATTTTAAAGAGTGATGTACATTACTCTCTCCTCAGTCCTTCCTTACAGTTACTAGACAAACTGATTGCATTTAATTAGCTTTTCGGTTTTTCAAACTATCTAGCAAACTTAAAATGGGACTATAGTATCAAAATAATAGTCCCATATTAAGATATAAACTTATATTTCAGCGATCTACAAATATTTTATGCATAAATCTGTTACCAAGAAAGCTGGGAACTAGCACTTACTACCAGCTCTTTGGTAAAGAAATATCCGTGCATTTCTGGAGAGAAATACTCTTTTTTTTTGTGGGGGGGGGGGAAGACAAAAGTTTTTCCGTTGGCCATTCCATGTAAAATTGCCCCTTTTTAATGAATTTTTGTGAAAGAAGTGAAATTTAATAAACTTATATCTAAGATTAAAAATGTTACTAATTTTCCCATTAAATCAGCAAAGGAATTAATAAACTTATATCTAATCTGACTTAAAAAATCAAGTTACTAATTTTCCCATTACAGCTCAGCAAAGGAAGTGAAAGAAAAAGCATAAAAAAAGGAAATAGATACATTTTCCTTTCTCTCTCTCTTCTTCAATCTTACGTACGAAAAAGCAAGTAAGCGAATTGTTAGGACAAAACCTCGTTAGGCAGTTTGCGTTAGAGGTGGATATCTTTTTGACTTGATAGACTTTCGCAAGAAAAACCTCAGAAGCGTTACTATGTAAGGATCTTAAGTTTTACTAACGTTTATTTTATTTTAAATCTTTACTATCACTTCTTATTTTCTACTTCCGGCCAGAATTATAAGCGTGAAGGAGTTTATGCAAAGTTGTCTGGCGAACGCCAAGTATTTAAGTGTGGCCTTTTTGCCAAGAATGAGAGAGGAAGCAGTGAGTTCGAAGCAGGCCGCTTACCTTAGAAGTTACGCGGTTGCTATTTGCCTTCCAGGCCAGAGGTTTTTAATCTCTTGATAAATTAAACGTATTGTAGTGTTCACAGTCTCTGTGCTACATTACGCTTCCTGTTATTATAAGGCCAATCTTATTCTAAAGTTAAATTAGAGTTTAGTTTTATTTTTATACCTTTTACGTTAGACCCCGAGTGGAGGGTCATTGTATTCCGAAGTACGGAAGTCATTGTATATAAAGAAAAATAAAGGGTCTTGTATACCCTTCGTCTGTATCCTGTCTACTTACTACAATTAGTGAACATAGCTTTAGTAAGCTCTCTGTTCCTAGTCAGGTCATTGTATGTTTCCGAAGAAGGTTAGAAGAAACATTGAACCTGATAACTATGCAGGTAACTTCTTCAACCATCGGGGATCGAACTCAGGATTGTTCTTCGCTACTGCTTAATTAATAAAAGAAAGGACACTAAATCTAAAACGAACTCTGTGAAGTTAGTCGTATTACAAAATAAAAACCCATATTAAAACAGACTTAGATACATTCTAGGGAATTTTAATGGAAAACTTAAGTATAGCTAAGTCAAATGAAAAAGTATTTAGAATCTATCTACATTTTCCGAATTTAACAATCCAGATAATTGCAGAAACTATAACCATGAAATCTTGATAAAATTTTAAAAATATACTCCGAATTATCTACATGTAGAACAAATTTTCTGTCTACTAGTAAAACTAACATGTACAAGAAATAATCGAAATTAAGAAATACATATGCATAATCCAAAAAGAATATATATAAATAATAGCGGTTATTTTATTCTTTAACAAAAATTATCGTTTGTGGTTTAGATCCAAAATGAATTCGCAGTTTGTTGGTTTACCGTAAAATTATTATTGTTATTTAGTATTTCCCTTTCTTGTTTGCTCTTTTTAAAGCTTATAAGCTTAATATTACCTTTGGCAAGATAAAAATTTGGACCATCTATATCTTCCAGCATTCCAGATTTCAATATCTTTAATGTAATAAAGTAAATATGTGTAACAAGTTCTATAAATAGATAAAATATAAATTCGTTTAAATATTCAAACATTTAATGTTGTTTTAGATTATACTTACAACAATCTCGGTATTGAACTCCATTCACTAAAATGTTGGGATTCCCCATCATAAAAATGCAGATTAGTGCAATAAATAATAAACATTTCATCTCGGCAACGTGAAAATAAAATTGTTTGCAAATAAAAAAACTGCCTTCTTAAGAGTAATTCGAAATTGTTTCAGAGAAGAATGACAATTTGTTTAAGTTTAAATAGGTCCAAATCATATCAGATAACTTATCATATCAGGTATTTCGGTAAGAAAGATATTAATGTGTTTCTTTTATTTTTTCCGATTCCTTAGATATATTGCAGCGCTTGGGGGAAAAAACAATGAGCTAGCTTTTCATGTGTTTAAAGATAATCAGCCAAAGGAAACGAAAGTACAGCGAGTGCAGTGGCAGTTGAAAATAATTTAACAATAATAAAAAAAAACTGATGCTCTGAGCCAACCACATGACTTCCTCGTATGGCCTACTGAATATTTTTTTAGAAAAAAAATAAACTGATATTAAGTATTCTTAGATTATTTATAACAATGAACTGACATTACGAATTGTTAGATTATTTACAACAATAAACTGATATTAAATATTCTTAAATATTTATTTTTAGTCTAATTACATATATAAACTACTAGCCGCTATGCGGCCAGCCTTCATCTGGCTTTTAAATATACCTGAAAATGAATAAAGGGAACACCATTAAATTTAAAAACTGCACAGAATTTTACTCTACAGAACAACTTTCAAAAAAAAAAAAAAAAAAAAAAAAAAAAATCAAAAAAAAAAAAAAAAAAAAATTAATTAAAGCATCTACAAATCATCGCATGATGATAACACCGCCGGCATATGTTTTTTCAGGTTTTAAAAGTTGTTTTAACGTAATGAACAGTGAATGAATGAAGAAGGAATGAGGAATATTTTTCTTCTATATCTCATGTTTTTGGATTAGTTAATAATAGCTTGCAAAACGAGGCAAGAAGGAAATATAAACATTCAAAAACTGAAAATGGGTAGAAAATTAGTCCTACGTATAGTAGTTAAGAGAATTTTAAATTTATGTTCTGAACTATTAAAAGTCATTATTTAATTTGTAGAGGCATTAGGTATATTTTTGGAAGCAGGCAAGATGAAAAATTAACTAACTCCTTCGCCGGGAATCGAACCACGGACCACTGCACCACGAAGACACGCTAGGAAGGCGGGAGAAATACCTTATATACTCCTCCTTTTAAAGGGTGACTGGGGTTTTTAAGGGACCCAATCGCCAGCGAATCGAACCACGGACCTCTGGAATACCAGCCTAGCGTGCAGAACCACTACACCAAGAAGGCACTCTAGGAAAGCGGGAGAAATACCTTTTAAATTACTTTTATGAAGTCGTAAAGACAATTTCTCATTAAAAATATAATCTGAAAATAAGTATTAAAAAAAATCTGAAATTAAATTACGTCCAAAGGGGCGTTTTTTAAAGTTTTGTGTGTTACCTTTATTTATTAAATATCATATTCTTTGCACTTAAACCATAAAATTTAGTTCAATAGCAATGTCACAAAATAATTTTAAAATGAGCATGTTAGAATTTCCAATACACAGTTTGACGCGCTAGAGATAAAAAGGTGTTTTTTCCCCCGTAGAGTGTTGCTATTGCTCGCTTTTAAATCGTTGTGTTTGTTACTCAAATATTCATTAAAGTTTTACAAAATATGAAATTGATAATAAAACGAAGTCCAAATTTCTAATTTTGGAATTCAGATGCTCATATTCCCAGTAGGACAACGTCATTCAAAATTGGATGGCTCTAGATACCGTTGTTTTATCACAATGCGAGAAATATATATACATTTATGCAGATTTTTCATTATTTAATTTCTTCAAATATAATGCAGGATTCTAACATTTAGTGGCAACAGTTTGAAAAGTGATTCGCCGTTTATAGTAATTCAACACAGAATCGCAAAACGAAAACAATAAACCTTCAGGGACAAAGTCCCTTTAGACTAAAAAAAACACCCCCCCCAAAAAAAAAACGCAAATTTCAATAAAAATGTATTACATATAAAAAAATTATAATTAAATAAGCAATATCTCTTAATACAGATATAAATTAATTAACCAACTTTCTTTTGCCTTCTGTCGGCAAACGTCCAGTATCCAAGAGAAACATTAAATTTAAAAACTGCACAGTTTTTCATTTTTCTAAAGTGAAATGCTAATTATTACTTAAACCTTTTTCGGAGATAATAGTTGGATGAATACGATAAAAAATTTAATATAAATAAAAATCTCTTGTTTTTCTACCTAATTATATTAATATTTTCTAATCTTTCTACTATTTTCTCAATTTAAATAAACTGGCAAACTCTGCTTTTACTAAAAAATGGGCTCCTAGTTTCAAAGACGTACTCTACCACAATTACGTGAAGATTATTATTTGTTATAATCTGGATTTTTCCTTTTTTCTCAACTTTAAGCCAGCTTTGTTTTCGCGCTTTAAAATATTACAGTGGACATTATTTTTTAGAAAGTTTCCATGTTGGAGATACCACTCACCCTCCTCGTTGGTAATAATTTTTAAAGACACCACCCAAAGTTTCGCACCCACACACACAATGTTTAACAGCATAAGACATTTTGAACACACGTAAAAATCTATTCTTCTGCTATTGGATACTTTGAGCCTTATTTCATCCTTTTTTCCAAGAAGTTCAACTTTTTGCTTCTCCAAGAGAAGCCTTGAAGTCAACCTTCTCGTCTACGGAACACAGTTTGGAAAAAAATGGTTGTCTTCTGAAATTCAGTAAGTTAACGATTTGTTCAGTTTCCTTGTTTCTAATATGTTTTCAGTTTTTAGCTGATTAAAGCTCGGATTAGAATGTTATATTATTTATAGAAATCTCTTCTGAAAAGTTTTTCGTTTTCTTGATATAAAAAGTTTAGTATCTCATAATCGGGGGCCACCCAATTTTTTTTAATGTTTTTTGAGTGACAATTTAATTTAAAAGTGTACTCTTTCGCTCATTAATTTGTAATTATTTTTGAATGTCGGATTTACATTTATTGTATATTTGACAAATTTTTTTTTGAATAGTCAATTTTGCATAATGTAATGTTTTATTCATTTTTCTCTCTTTTTTCTAAGTGCTTCGAAGGTGTGTAGGGAAAATTCAGGATACATTTGAGATTCGTTCTTTCGATTTTAATTGAATTGTAAAGTTCTAAATGAAAATTTAATTGTTCTTTTTTCAGTTCTTGATCTCAAATACTTCAGAAGAACGAAACATGCATTCAAAACATATTAACTGACTTTTACAAAACTTTAATTCATTTTCCTCTGATGAGTTCTAAATTGGAGTTTCAGTAAAAGGATATTAATATTTTTATTTTTTTATTTTTTTTTTTTTATTTCTAATTTTTATTAATTTTTCCTTTTCACATTTTAATTTTTCGAGTTTATTCTACTGATGAATTCTTATATTAATTTTGATACAATGTGTGTGACCTCTTATCCACGGTTGCAACTATTAGTATTTTTGGGGAATTTCCTTGTTTTGATTTCAGTTTAATTTTACTTCTGATACTTTAAGTTTAATTTACTTCAATCCTGCAGCTATAGCGCAGGAGTGGCTAAAAAATTTTTGTTTTTCATTTTTGTATATTTCTCTTTGTATATATATATACACACATTTTGTACTGCCGATTGCAGGAGGTACACAACTGTATTTTATATCAGTCCCATATACAAAATTTCTACGTCCTACAGCTAATCGTTTTTGAGTTATGCGTGATAGGTATATACATACATACATACAAATGTATGTATAAATGTCACGAAATAATTCTCTTTTGAATATATTTTAAATCCAATTCGTTTTGAAAAGAAAAAAAAAAAGAGTCCTTTGTTCTGTCCAAACGTATAGACGACACGCAAAAAAATTGTCCAAACTGACTCGAGAACGGTCACTCGCTAAATTGGAGAGATATCGCCAAGCTGGGGATGGTTTTATCAAGTTGGTGACTAATTTTTGTCACCAAATTTGGCAAGAAATCTCCAAAAGTTTGCCAAACCTAGCGATGTTTTGGGGAGTACTTGTATAATTGTAATTGGGACAGCAATTGAGTAACTATGGTTGATTCTTATATGTAACTGTGACCGTATCCGGCCCTTATATTTAACCGTATATGTCTTCTAGCATTTTCGAGGCATGGAAAGTACTAGACATTTCCCGGTGGCCGGGACGAAAACTATATAAGACAGGATTGTCAACCTTCAGTTTTCAGTTCCGAATCGACTTCGAAATGTTGAAATATCTCTATGAGAGCTTCATTGTTTAGATGCGCTTTGCATTGCGTTGTGTTTAACGTTCTTAGTAGTTTGAAGTAACTATACTGATTGAGCTCTGTCATACTGAGAAGAGCAGTGCGAGTATTTTTATGGAAATTTCCAGAACTATAAAGTGTTTGTTTGGGTAAAATAAATTTCATCAAGCTATCATCGATTCTGTGTGCATTCAGTCATTAAGAAAGAGTATATCTCACATGTGCTTTAAAGTTTTCTCATTTGTTTTGTACTCTTTTAATACGAAATGGAACGCAGCGAAGTCATATGATGTAGTGCTATTACATATTGGACCGTCACGATAATCAGAAGTGATAATCACGCATTGCAATGTGTATTTTTACATCTTTAAGGCTTCCTTACTTCACGACAAGCTAACCTGAGAAGACGTACAAGGCTAGAACGACCTTTTCACAGCTTTTCACCCTGTTCTTCAAGTTATCCATACGCAGCAAACTGCCCGAGGAGATTCAATTCCTCCAATTTGCTGCACATCTGGCGACTTCTTGCCAAATCCAGCGTATTTAAATAACAATCTTTTTATGCAGTGAAGCTGCAGCTGAAATTGATAGTTCATCATAGTGTAAAATGTAGGGCATGCTATTAATTGTCTTGATTTATGTGAAATATTTCACTATTATCTAAATGTGACGAACACTAATTTGATGATATTTAAAGCTTGAAACCGGAAGAGGAAACCAATGTATTCCTTGCAGTTTGGGTCAAATTTTTTTCCCCCAAGACATGCTCACTTAGTTATTTTTTTAAAAGTAAAATATATAAATTTGGAAAATCTTGTAGTAAGTTATTTTCTTTTAATGTTTAAGAGATTATGCGGT